AGAATCTCTGCTTTCCTAAATGAACGTTTTCCACATTGTACTTTTTACTGCAATCCTCGCATGCATGTTTATTCAGAGACAAATCGCATCGAGCCCAATGGGACTCAATCCCAAGTGACTGCGTACAGCCTTTTAGATTTAGAGTGCCAATGTCACGCTTTGCTCGCTCACTTTTATGCGGGGCGTCCACATGAGGTAGTGATTATCTCGTAGCCAGTCTGTATTTTTCCCCATGTCCCTTCGGTTAGCTCCAAAGGGACTGGAAAGGAAAATGTGTGTGTGTGCTGTTTAAACGCAACAACAGTGTACATTTACATTTTCGTACAGCGAGGTTTACTTCTGAGCAAACACTCAAAGCGACAGGAACAACGCTAAGCAACTTCTGTCGTGCCTGGGGGAGGAAATTCATGTTTATGTATTAGTTAAAAGGGTTCTTCTAACACGATCAACAATTATAAACTGTGTCATCCAGGTAGAACTTTGGGGGCAGAAGTCCAGGGACCCACTCAGAAGAATGAGCAGGAGGGTCCCCAAACACGAATCTATAGAGTCATCGCAGGACTGTGAAGTCCAGAGTCAAATATTATTTAAACTTAACTACTGCCAAGTAAAGTAAGTAAACAGAGTGTTCTTTTGTGGAAGTTTAAAAGGGGGTGGGTATTCTCTTTCTGACACTGCTACATAACTTCTAGACCAATTACTAAAAAAATCTCCTCCCAGGAAAGGAAAAATCCTTGATCTAAAAAGCCTGGGCAAGATCCAGGCAAAGCCAAGTTCATTGGAAATCGCCTAGATTCCCCTGGGAGAGATCAAGTTGCGTACACACCATACATTTAAAGCACACACACACCCAACACACAAAAGTAATCACGGGAACTGCAGTTTGTTAAGGGTACTGGAGATTCCAAGGTGTAAACTAAGGTTCCCAAGACTGGGAAGGTGTTTTTATTAAATGTATGACATTCTGATAAGAAGAGAGGGGGAGATCAATGCAGTTTAAAAGAGCATGGATCGTGCCCATTGCCTACCAGCAGGTGTTCTGCATCACTCCTTGCTGCAGAGGTGTAAACAGAAAGGGAAAGAGAGCGGGGGCGACTGGACACAGAAAATCATGTCCGGGTTGGCTAATAATTCCTACCGAGCATTCTCGGCGGGAGACGGTGGTAGACTCGGCAGGCTTTGTTCCTTTCTGCTCACGGTTTGCTACCAGCAAACATGTGCAGGCGTTTCTGCTTCCCGAGCAACAGCCGGAGAGAGAGAGAGAGAGAGAGAGAGAGAGAGAGAGAGAGAAAGAAAGAAAGAAAGAAAGAAAGAAAGAAAGAAAGAAAGAAAGAAAGAAAGAAAGAAAGAAAGAAAATTCCCCCAAAGCGTCAGACCCAAAGGGGACTCCAGCGCACACCGGGCCTCTTCTCTGCAATGCAGTCTTTCCTTTCCAGAACCAAAGCGGCTCCTCTCCGAAAAGGTTATGGGGCTGACAAGCCAGATCCGGAGCTCCTTGCTCTAACAAAAAAAAAGTGAGCCCATGTGCCGCGATTGGAAGACCAACGATATTTGCCACGCTGGTTGGGATCAGATTCAAGGCCCCAGCGAGCCCTCCCCGTCTCCGCATTCTTGCCATAAAAAGAAGTTAGGGACTGTGATTCTTCAACCAATTCCCCTTTGAAACCAGCGGGGCTGATCTACCAACTGCTCTGCTGGTCGAGGATGTCACCCTAAAGACTCTTAGCTAGTGAGGAACTGAACCTTGCTGGGTCTTACTTCCGAGGCACTAAGCGCAGGCTTGAACTTTCTCTTGACGCGGAAGCGGAGGTCTGTTTATAGCGCCTTGGGCGGCGTTCATTGCCTCGGCATAGTCGGGGCCCCAACGGAGCAACAACTCCCAATAATTTCAACTTAACTGAATTGTGGGTTGTTGCTGTAACAAAACGGGAGCATAATATATGACAACTCCTGCTGGGACAGGAAAGTTGGGGGTGGCTGTGTGTGTTCAAGTTAATTTATGCGGCCCTCTGAAGTACCGGTAGGTGTTTCATTTAGTATATACCCAGGGAAAATTTAAAATGCAAAAAAATTAAAAAATAAATTTTAAAAATCCCCAGCATTTTATAAACGAATGTTTAAATTATGCTGAACTAAGGCTTTAACGAAACATAATACTTTAAAAAAAACCCACAACCTATTTTTGTTTTTATTATGTATATATATTCTCTCTATATGTACTATATATAGAGAGAGAGTTTGAGAGGCCTGCTGGGGCGAATCCTGAATTTATTTTACTTCCCTTCCGAAGGCATGAATAGAAAGAGATGACTAAACAGGCGAAATCCCATCATTTCCCCCGCTCAAAATAAAGTACTAACAAAGCTCCGTATTGATATAACCCCCTCCCTGTATTTTTTCATATATATTTTAAGCAATGTAAACACACGTTTGCCTCTCCGCGCTTCCCCACACATTTATAAGAGGCTTTCTCTGTTCTGCGCTCCCAACTCTTCTTTTCCACACTGAGACAAAACGCAGAGCTTCCCCTTAAAGAAACACAAGTGACTGAAAGCAGATTACCCTGAAAGAGTGAAGTTTTTAAATATATATTTTCTTCCAGAACAGGCCTATAAAATGTTTCCAACCTATCTATTCCCCGAAGGGAATTTGAATTCATTCCTTAGAAACTTTTTTTTAAAAAAAGCATTAAAACGGCATTGAAATTCTGAACTTTAATTTTCTGCACTGTGGTGGGACGGTAGAAAGAAAGAAAGAAAGAAAGAAAGAAAGAAAAGAAAGAAAGAAACCGTATGTTGCGAAACCCACATTTTACGGGACTCAACAGAGACTAGAACCCAAACTCCGGACAATGAAAAGAAACGACGCGTATTTAAGATTTTAAGCAGATTTTGCGCCAGCTAAAATATTAAGATATATAATTTTAAAGCGTGCAGCGTATCCCTGTGGAAGTTAAAATCTCCGCTCGACTGCCTGGATCTCAACTTTTAATTCTGATTTTTGTACATATTTTTCCCCCCAAAATAGGGAATGAACCCTGGTGGTCACGCGTTGACCCCTTTACACGTTACAACCCGCAAACCAAGTCAGGCCAGGCGGGCTGCTTCTACCTGAGCGAAGGGTTTTAGGGATCGAGCTTGCCTTTTCCGCCGAATCAAAGGGAGACCGCTGACGCCCCCACCCGAAACAATTTATTTAGGTGAAAATGAGTCCTCGTTAAATCAGCCGGAATGACAAGTACACCGTTGTTGCGTTCAGGATCAAAGTGGATCAGCCAGTTTTGAGTACAATTACGTTTAGTTAATTTGTGGGCTACCACCTTGCGGGAAGCTATTTTAAAGTTATAATGGGCAGCAAATTATCGGAAGGAAATGACGAGGAGGGTAGGGTAGGGTGGGGCGGGGCGGTAGAGGGAGCGCAGGCTGCGATCCTAGGCGCGCGCACACACACACACTTTGGAGCAATTCTCATTCAACTCAGTAGGACTTCTTTCTGAGTAAACGTGTACAGGATCTATTAAACCATTACAGCGCTACTTTTAAAAAATACACATTGTGCATATATGTAAAGGTTGGGGCTCAAGCAAGAGTTTTGGAAGGATGAGGGTTGATTAAGACTGGTAATGAACTAATCATTTAATCATCGCATTATGATGATAATAATGATCCTCCACACCTATTTTTCAAATCAAAAAGGTTTCCACCAGCGTTAGCCTGTACTACTGTGAACTGTAAAGGGGATTTAAAAAAAAAAAGCAAACAAATCAGCAACATTTTGGGTCAGATAAGCGGAGATGTCGCTACATGAAATCCAGAGTCAATAAACTGAAGGATCCTGGATCACATAGTCTCACTTGGAAGTAAGAACCGCTGAAGGAGGAGAGGAGGAAACGAGTGAAAGTGGTTGGGATCGGGGCGTTTAGGGACGAATTCGTTCCTTAGTAACTCCTGCACTTAACCGAAGCCACAGCAGGAAGAACGTAAGGAAAACAATGGAGGGGAGGGTGAAAAAAATGCCACAAGCAAGAAAGGGGGGGGTACCTAGTGGTATTCACGGCAGGAACGAAGAATAAACTCCAGGAGGTCGATTAAAAGTCCCAACGCGCTCAAATGGCTTTTACTATCCAAGGCGAGCACAGAATCGCAGCCTCAACGCCGCAATCCTCAGCGTGCCTTCTGCTCAGAAGAAAGCCCAACATAGCTTGCAAGTTTCTGCAGGCGTAGGATCGCAGCCCTCCCTCTTTCCCAATCCCCCCCCAGACATCCCCAAAGCGCCCAACTGTGGCAGGATCGTGTGATAATAATAATAATAATATATTATTATTATTATTATTAATAATAACAACAAACAACAACAAAATTTTTCCTTCCAGTAGCACCTTAAAGACCAACTAAGTTAGTTCTTGGTATGAGCTTTCGTGTGCAAGCACACTTCTTCAGATACACTGAAACAGAAGTTGCCAGATCCAGTTTCAGTGTATCTGAAGAAGTGTGCATGCACACGAAAGCTCATACCAAGAACTAACTTAGTTGGTCTTTAAGGTGCTACTGGAAGGAATTTTTGTTTTGTTTTGACTATGGCAGACCAACACGGCTACCTATCTGTAATAATAATAATAATCGCCTTAAAATAAATAAAAGAACGCCTGGTATGTTTCCCATTCGTCCGCACTGCCTGCCCATCGGGTCTTTCGGGGAAGAAGTTTGGGGGTGAGGAGAAACGGCGGACCCCACTTTCTGGGAAGGAAGCCCCTAGCGCCCCATGCTAGCCTTGCTCAGAGTAGCCCCATGGAAGTCAACGGACCTGACTCCCTTAGGCCCGTCCATTTCCAAAGGCACCGCGAAGGGAAGCCTCTCCCGATCTCCTCTGAGCAAGACTAGGAAGCCTGCCGCTTGCTTTTCGAGACTTGGAAGGGACCTTCCGGGGTCATCCAGTCCAACCCGCCCCCACCCCCTGCGTGCAAAACAAGAAAGGGGAGGGAGGCGCAAAGGGGCTCTGACCTGCCGGCCTTGGTGACGATCATCTCGGTGCCCAGCTGGTTGAACTCGTCCCACAGCGCCTTCATCTCCAGCTGCACGTTGACGTTGGCCACTTTGGGGTTCTTCTTGACCGGCGCCTTGGCCGAGGCCGGCGCCGATCCGCCTCCGCCGCCTCCCCCTCCGCCGCTCTCGGGGGTGTCGGAGCCCGGCGGCGGCGGCGGCGGCGGCGGCGGAGGGTTGGCCCCGGAGCCGCCTGGGAAGGCGTAGCCGAGCTGCTGCTGCTGCTGCTGGCTGGCGTGGTGGTGCTGCGGCGCCGGTGGCGGTGGCGGCTGAGGCGGCGGGTGTTGCTGCTGTTGCTGCGCCGAGCAGGGCTCGTAGTGCGGCGGCTCATGCTGGCCGTACGGGTCCCCCGGCGACGGCGAGAGGTGGTGGTAGCCGGCCGCGGCCGCCGCCGACGCGTTGAGGCTGCTCAGGCTGTTGGCCGTGAAAGCGGCGACGTCGCAAAAATGGGACAGCTGCGTCAGCCAAGGGCTGGAGATGGCTGATATCATGCCGGAGGAAGAAGAAAAGAGAGAGGAAGGAAGGAAGGAAGGAAGGAGGGGGGAGGGAGAGAGAGAGAGAACAGCGGGCGGTCAGGTCGGTTGCTCGCTCGCTTCCCGGAGCTGCTCGCCCTCCTGAGGTAAACTGGGCCGCGGCGCCACAGCCGCCTCAATTTATAGCGCCCCGCCGCTGAGGGAGAAAGAGAAGGGAGCCCCCCCCCCTCTCTCGGTTGACTTGGCCTCTTCTCTTCTCTCGCTCTCTTTCTTTCTCTCTCTTTCTCACCCCCCCCACTTTTTTTTTTTAAAAGCGCTCGGCCAAGTTCGCCTCAGCGCCGGCTGGCTCGCTCCTCCGCTCTCGGTGGCGCGCCTGCGCGCGCACCAGAAACTTTACAGCTTATCCCCGCGGCTGCTTCTCCTCATAAACGCGCCGGGGGCTCTCCGAGGAAGGCCACCGCCTCGGCTCCGGCTTCTGCGCCGGAGAGACGCCGAGAGAACTGAACGCCGTGAGAGAGAGAGAGGCCCAGAAAAACCCCTCGCGCTCTGAAGGAACGAGCTCCTTTTCTCTGGCGTTTTCTCGCTTCCTCGAGAGAGAGAGAGCGAGCGCTACTGACAAGAACTCCCTCAGACTGCCTCTCTCTTTTTTCTCTCTCGCGCTGTGGCGCTCCTGACTGACTGACTGACTGACAGACGGACTGAGTCATTCCCCTGGGGACTGGGGGGGGGGGAGCGCGGCGGTGGAGAGGCCTGGGCGCGCGCGCCACGCTCTCCTATCTCCTCCTCGCGCCCAGCCCAGCAGGGGACGTCCCTCCTCCCACCTCCAAACTCTTTCTCTCCCCCCCCCCGCGCTTGGGCTTTTGGCCTCGCCCCCGAAAAGGGAGAGGGCGAGTCAGCCAGCCCGGCCGTCAGTCAGCCAGCGAGCGCTGGCGGCTGGCTGCCCGGGCAGGGCTCGGCACCTCCGTCCCCCTTCTTCCTCTTCGTCCCCCTCATCTTTTAAACGCCCTGCTTTGCTTCCATTTTCTCCTGGCTTGGCTGTGAGGCGGCCTCTTCTCTCTCTCTCTCTCTCTCTCTCTCTCTCTCAGCAGAGGGCCTCCCTCTTTTCGCTGCCACCAAACCGGTTCTTACTTTCCTTCCACCCCCCCCTCCCTTCTTCTTCAATGGCGATAAAGGGGAGCCCCTGCAGGTAACGCGCGCGCTTTTCCTTGCCTCGGGAGCCGCGGAGTGATTGACAAGTGGGGAGAGAGAGCGCGCGCGCGCGCTTGGAGAGGGTGGGCTTTTCCTGGAGCTCTCCCTTAGCTCGCTCTCCCAGCTTTGATGCAAGCAAAAATTTACATGCAACCTCTTTAAAACCAAAACAAAACAACAACCCCCCACTTGCATCGCCTCTCATCCACCCCCACCCCCACCCCCATCTCCTATTATACTGCAAATTAATTATCTGCATATTATAGACGTGCAAACTCATCCAGCACCACTGCAGTTTTCCTGCCCATTCAAACAGGCTCTTTTTTAAACCCAGGACCTCTGAAGCTTCAGCAAGCGCCGGTCCACAAATCTCTTAAGCCGTATACTGGAATCAAAAGCGAGGGGCCTTATTTGAGCTCTTAACTCTATTTAAATGGCCAGGAGGACTTAGACAGGAATCTCCTCTCCAGCCCGAAATTGTCCGAATTAGGCCCCCGATCTATATACAGTGTTGAATGAGGTTACTGTCCTATATATGAGATTGCAGTACTAAGCCGGATTGCGGGCTCGCTAATATGTGGACACAGTATTGGAGAGGGTAGGGGGATAAATTCACTGTTGCTAACCCAGAGTCAGATCACTGATCTCTCTAGTTCAATATTGTCCCCAATGACAGGCAACGGTTCTCCAGGGTTTTAGAAAAGGAACATTCCCAGCTCTACCTGAGATGCCCGGGACCTTCTGCATGCAAGGCAGATGTCCTACGACTGAGCTATGACGTTCCCCCCAATGCTCAGCATGCTGGAAGGAATGAAATGGTATTGGTTTCAAGAAGAGTTGTTATTATTATTATTATTATTATTATTATTATTAGATTAGTTTGGGAAGTTATTATTATTATTAGATTGCCGTGGGAAGTGCATTTCTTGGAAGTCAAGTTCCAAGGAACCACAGAATTATTCTGATTCCTCTGTTCGGATTTAAAAATAAAATTAAGATTAAAGTGATTCCTGCGGAGAATACTCACTGAAACCAGACTGAGTGGGCATCTTTTCCTACACGACTCTTTAGATATCCTATTCAATGGAGTTTACTTCCTCTCAAAAAAATGTTCCTGTAAGAGAATTGGGTTACTAGGAAATTTGGGGAAAGTTGGCAGGACTCTCCTGCCGGGGTTAAATCTCGCTATATAATGAAATAGCGAATATACAATATAAGTTTTATTGTTGTTTAAGATTCAATTCAAGTGAGTATAGTCTGTTTTAAAAGTAACCTTTAAAAAGCAACTTTAAAAAAGTTATTATGGCTTATTTTAAGGTGTAGTGTGGAAGCCCGTCATATTATTCTGAACTACTCTTGGACGCCTCCTCAAGCCAGAAGGTTTCATACTGGGAGAGAGAGAGAGAGCCATGGAAGTGAACGGGGAACCGCGCAGTACCACAACTCTCCCATTCACTTCCGTGGGGTTCCTATAGGTGACCTTTCCGCGAAGTTTAATTAATTGAAGTTTATTTGTATCCTGCATTGCCACCAGCAAACACGCGCTAAATCCATATTGCGTCCTGTGTTATTCGCTTGCTGTTTAGCACGGTGTTCTTGCTGCGCTGTAATACAGCATATAGCCTTTATTGCTCTGGTCGTCTGGATGAGCCCCCAGTCTCTCTCCCCCCCCCCCACAAATGGAATATTTGAAACAGAGAATCCTCTCCGCCACTCTCCAATTAAACGCCTTTACTGATTTCAGCTACTCTGTGGCCTTGTTGTAGAAAATCGCCTCCTGACTTTGAACCAGCCGGGGTTTTTTAAAGTTCTAAAACCATTGTTTTATACTTTCTATAAGCGCCATATGACTTCCTATACCATAACACTGCTATTTTATTTTCTTTCTAATTATTTGTATTTCTTCCAAGCTCTGTAATCTCGTGAATTAATTCCTCCCCGCCAAGGCTAACGCCCCGTTGCGCGTTGAAATGAACCGGGCTATCGCAGTGGAATCTAGCACAAGTTCATTTCTGTGTGTTTATTTATAGTAAACTTTTTTAAAAAACTTAAATGGAACAGGCTTCCAAGTTAAGTGATTAAGATCTCTGTATATAAAATACAACCCAGTGTTTACCATATTTACCGGGAAGCAAGACTCAAACGTGTTTTATGTCAGCTCCACAGAACGTTAGCGTGATCCTGTGTGTATAATCTGCACCGTATATGGGAACCATCCGGTCATTCATTAATTCCGAAGTTTCAGCCATTTATTTTTTAGTAAGTGTTAAGAGAAGACTTCACCTCTTCCCACTCAAAGGAACGGGACTTTAAAAAGTCCTGCGGTTAGATTTGCATTCCCTTGACTTTCCTTATGTAGAAGGGAACTATTATATTTCCTTGTCAATTTAATAATAAGAATAGAATTTAATTATAATTTAATAATGAGAATATAATAGACCTATATGTCCCAAATACTCAACTTTCTCTTGTTCTTACAGGCAAATTAGAGAGAGCTTCTCCCCCCCTCCCCCCAAACACACACGTGGTCCCTTCCTGACTGCGCTGCAATCGCTGCTAATAACTCCATAGCTCAGGGCTACTTTGCTAATTGACAGCGAAGCAGCACATTACAAGCATGTGCCTAACCTAGATTTACTATCGATTTGAGAGAGCCTGTGGTTTGTTTGTTTTTTTCCGTGGGCGGTGGCTCCAGTTGCTAACGTTATATGTGCCACCCAAATGCCACAGATGCTTTTACTCGGAAGCCAACCCCACTGGGTTCAATGGGGCTGACGCCCAGGTAGGCTTCTGTTTCGGGACTCCAGCCTCGGTTACGTTTAGAGGAGAGTCGTTTTCCAAAGAAAAGACGCCGGGCGGGCGAGCAAACCAGAAGAGGTTGTGGTTTAGTTCCTAGATCGGTTAAACAAAAGTATGGACTATTTTATTTTTTTAAGAACCCCAAACAGAACTGCAATGTTTGCTGCTCACAGACCCATCTGCTCACCCATCACCCATTAACGGTGAGTTTAATGCTAAGTGACTTGGTAATGCTGCACAACATTCATCATAATAGTAATTACTATTATTGTCGTTAATTATTGTGAATTATAATGGGTACTCCAAGCAGAACCCATTGAAACTAATGGGCATGACTAACAGGTTCATTATCTCCTTCGGGTCTACTCTGAGTCTATCTCCGCTGGCTACAGCCCGGAGCTGGAGGATCCGGGGGCGCTTTTTGCTGCGGATCTCCATTGAGGAGGTTATATATGAGGAAGGGCCGTTCGTGGCTAAGCCGCAAACGGCATGCTCTGTAGGCAGATGGCTCCCCAGTTCAGACCCCTTAGGATCGGGGAAAAATCTGCGCCCACCCCGGAGACCCAGTGCCAGTAAGAAGAGTTTAGAGGGACCGCTGGTCTAACTCGGCAGCAGGCAGCTCCCTAAGTCCAGAAGCCCCCAAACCCGCGTTATTCCTCGGCGACAAAGCGCCACGGAAAAATATACGCGAAACAAGGCACATTTTCATTGCGCGGAAGTTCCTTGGAGCAAGGGAGCCGGCGCAGGGCAAGCGGAGGCGTGTCTACTCGGAAGTAAGCCCAGGCACCTTGAATTCCCAGGTGTCGTCGTGCGCGCAGCAGAGGGACTGGGCGTTGGGTTTTGCTTTGTTTGAGGCTGTTGTCAAAAGGTTTCCTTGCTGCAACACAGCCACTTGGGCCGTCTCCGGGTCTCCGAGCGCGGCAGAGCTGGGTTGCTCTAACCGGGAGGAGAGTATCCGAGCAAACTGTGCAGTTGTGCGAGTGTCTGTGGGCGAGATCCCCGGAGCTCCCTTCGCCCTTGACCTCTGGGTGCTGGCTGCGCTAAGCAGTGGCTGAGGGGCGCCACATATTTTTGCAGACATCCCCTCTCCCCTCCCGACCAACTGATTTATTTAAAAGCAAATTTCTCGAGTCTCTTCGCCGCTTACCTTCCATGTCCCGGGTAACGGCGCTAAAATGCATCCTCCTCCGGGCGGCGGCGGCAGCGGCAGCGGAGGGGCTGTAAGGTCTGCGGAGGCCCCCACCGACGGCGGCGGCGGCGGCGCTGGGCTCGGAGTCCAGCGCAGCGACTGCAACCTCCTCCTCGTCGTTGTCGTCGTCGTCTTGGTCGCCGCCTCCTTTCCCCTCGCGCTCAGCGGCTGAAATCAGAGAGGCGATACTGAACGCGTTGGCCTTGGGGGATAGGGGGCTCGCGTCGTCCATAGGAGGGCAGAGAAACCGCCGAGCCCGCGTGGAAACGGCTCGCCCGTCGGGGAGATCAGCGCGCCAGGGCCAGCTTGCTGGGACGCGCGCGGCGCGCATGGCAGGGGCCCCGCGGCGGCCCGGCGGCAGAAACTGCTGCGGGAAGAGAAGGAGCCGAAGGAAGTTTCCGAAGCGGCTCCCCCACCCCTCTCTCCTCTGCCCTGGCCCTTCCCTCCCCCCCCCCTTTCCAGCAACCCACCGCCGTTCCCTCCTCCCAGCTGGCGGAAAGTGGCTCCGCGCGCCTTGGCCCAACCCGAAATCTCCCCTCCTCCTCCTCTGCCACCTCGTCCCCCCTCCCGCTTGCTCCCCCCCCCCAGCACCTCGCATCGGCAGCCGGCCCAGCCACGTTTACTCGGAAGTAAGCGCCGCGCCTGCTCAGGGAGGTTTACCTCCAGGTAAAGCGCTTAGGATCGAGTGGGAGTTTTATGTTCTTGGTTTCTCCACACATTTCTCCCGCATTCCTTCTTTTCCCCCAGCAAGGAATAGCTCAGGTAATTGCTCCTGGTTTTCCCTTTTTCCGGTTCCCCCTGGATTTATTGCGTTTATTTACACCACTCTCCTCCCTCCTTAGCGCGCGCGCCTTCCTTGCAAGGCTGAGGGCGCAGCTCCCTTCCCTGTCGCAGAGGATTCCTCTCGCTCGCTCTGCGCACCTTCCCGTGGGTGGCGATGCCACACGGACTTGTAAGGATGGCCTTCTGCCCCGCCGCTAATTTCGCATCCTCCGCTTCCTTTGCGGAAACACTACCAGCGACAAACTAGCAAAGAAGAGAGCTATAAATTGGAGAGGATTGTGGCGGGGAGCAGTAGAGCGGGTAGAATGCGCCTCCTCCCTCATTTTTCCAGTTCTCTTGCCGTGGCCACCAGAATAATAATAGCAGAAACTTTGGGGGCACTGTTTGCCCAGGTGTGGAAGGACACCCCAGAATCACCAGCAATTACGTATGTAGGAAGAAGCAGCGCAACCCCCTCCCAGAGTGAGTCCAGCCTAGAAGCAAAACAGTCCGCTCTGCAGTTTCCCGAACCAAAGAAGGGGTCATCTCGCCCCGCAAGACCTTGAGAATGAACAATCCCTTCTTTAGTCCGGTCTGTGGGCCGGCACTGAAAACGGTTTCTCCAGAGGTGCGTGTGGACAGATTAGTTCTACCGCGTTGTACTGCTTCGACCTATAAACAGGCCGCACTATTAGCGGTGACCCCACCACACACAAAGACACACACACACGCCCCAATACACCAATCCCATGGGCTACTGTATCCTCAGATCTCCCTCCCAACAAAGCGCGCGTCGGGTTGTGCGGAGCCGCGTTTCACTGCAAAACGGAACGTTGCGTAAGACAGCAATTACAGCTCTATGGCAATTATGGTGAGGAGCCTTGATTCGCACCCCAAACCTCTCCTCCCCTCGCGCCGGAGATGTCATCACCGACCCATAATGTCTGGCTCGAGGACGAGACACGTACCAGCTTAGTTTGCGAAGGATTGCCAGGGGGTGGGTTTTATTTTTTGCTGGGGGGGGGGAATACCGCCCCAGATCCAAACACCACCTGCTTAAAAACTTAAAACACTTTCTCGGGGTGGGAATCAGCTTAGTAGAGACCTAGGCAGAGACATCTCTTTCCGATCCAGTCTCAGACGTCCAGTGAGGCACGGGCCACTTTCGGTTTTTGAGGCCTCTAGCCATAATAATCTTTTAAAAAAAAAATGACGACGGGGTGTGTGGGGAAGAAAACATATCCAAAAAGTGAATGGTTTGTATAATTAGCTGTTCTGAGAGGACACATTCACCGCGGTCTAATCTTGAGCCATTCCAGCCGTTTTATTGCCTTAATACCTAGGAACACTTTAAACTATCTAATATGACAAAGTTCTATATCGGTCAACAACGAAGTCCCATCTCTTACTTGAATATATTTGAAGCTCTGAGCCGAAAGGATGTGTCACTTTTTGGTCTGTTAAGCAAAAAAAAAAAAAAAAGCAAAAAGTTATCAAATGCTTCCCAAATTTTTTAAAAAGTGTCTAAATTTGAGATTAAGGTTGAGAGCAAATGGATCCCTCTTCCTAAAGCAAAATTACTCTAGGAATGAAATATGAACCGAGTATGAATCGGGCTCTCAATCCCATAATAGTCCCAAACTCTTCTGCATTGGTATGATTTTATACCAACAGTAATTGCGGAGTATTTCTCACTACCGTTACATAGTATTCAGAGTAATCATCTTACAATTAGTAGGGTAGTACAATACATTCTATTAAGAACGTTTACTTGCGGCTGGAGAATGCTTTAAGTGAGAAACCATAATAAAAAGAATTAGCACTTCTTAAACAATTTTTCCATCTGGATCGAGAACGCTCTCTTGATGCAAAACGGTGATAAACCAGGATGGATACGGAAGAAGGAAGGAATTTTACATGAAATATCCCTTTGGGACCAAAGCTACAGTAAAAAGAATTATGGATCTTTTGTGCAATGCTGAATTCGGAGGAAGAAAGAAAACGCTTTCTGGGTTCCAAACCGTATAAAAGTCATAACTGTTTTGTGAAATCGCAAAACATTCCCAGGTGCTATATCTCTCGGGAGTCCGAAAGCCCGCGCGCCTTTTCTGGATAAAGACATACATAATTTCTGGAGGCATAAAAAGGATTTTGTCCGGGTTCACACAAGTCTCCAGTCCTTGTCACGTGAGAGAGAGAGAGAAGGGAATGACTTTAGAGTTGAGCAATCCGCATTGGTTTCGAGGACACCCCGCCGCCGAAAAGACCCCCACCCACTTAAATCTTCGTGCCACGGGAGCTTTAGCTCGGCTGCGCACCTCTCGGATCCCTTCCAGGGGGCTGCGATCCTAACCGCACATCCTTGGGAGTAAGCCCCATTGAGTTCAATAGGACTCCCGAGCGAGCTAGGCACAGAAACACACACAAATACATCTGCTTAACTGGCCAGGTCACCTGCAAAGGCTGCCTTGAAGCGCCGTCCTCCTTTTCTCTGCTGCAACGTTAGAAGGCCAGACGCGGAGAACAGGATCGCTTTCCGCGGCTGCTCCCGGCACAGCACTCCTGCAATCCGATCTCTCCTCCGGCTACAGACGAGCTCTTCCAAGTCCGAAGTGGTGGGTGGGTGGGGGGGCTGGATAAGCAGACTTTGCCTCCCCCACTGCATTATACCCAAGACCCTTCTCCACATGAGAACTCACGGAAAAACTAAAAAATAAACCCAGGCTAGGGCTACTGGGATCTCGATGGATAAGGCAGACACACCATCGCCGCAGGGTCAGGGAGCGTATTGCGTGTTTTGCATAGAGACTGTCTGCAATTAACCACCATTATCATCATCATTAAAGGGAGAACCGCCAAGTGAAACCTCTGAATTGGCATTAATCAGGAAGTTCGACCGCATCACTCCTGGACTGAATCGCGACAAGGGCTTGGTGTTACGTTATACGTGCGAACCGGCTTCTCCGTGTTCCGAGAGACGCCTGTGTGATCAGCCACAACTGTCTGTAAACCGCCACCGGGAATCACGGGATCTGTGTTCTGCTTCTGACCTCAATGTTTACAACTCTCTCCCCCCACGCCCGGAAAAAAGCACCACTCTCATATGTACATATATTTGTAAAACAGAATAAAACTCCATCCATCTGCTGAAGTGGACTGCAACCTACGGAAGCTTATGCCATCATAAATCGACGAAGTTTTCGAAGTGCCGCAATGGTGTTCCCTAATAAGGAGCAAAAATATATATTTATGCAGCACATTTTTTACAAAAAATACGCTTAATATTATGCAGGGGGACTTATTTGACATAAGCAGTCCTAGCCAAGTCAATGGGATCCCTATGGAGTCCGTAAGAAGTGGGCGGGATGTTATCACGTACTGGACCCCTCGATGACCACGATCGCACGGATATTCCTCCGTGTTTTCCAACTAACGGAGCAAGTCCCACTTTTGAGTAAGCCGTAGAACATTGTTCCAGGTCAGTGGGGGTAGGAAGAGAGGCTAGCTGCCGTACTTTCAACCGGTCCCGTTGATTTCTTTAGACATGGGTGTGAATTGTGCGGAAGGACCCCCAGGATTGGAAGCCGACGTGTAAGCCGCCTTGCGCTCCCGGATGGGGGGAAAGACGGTTTGTTATAAATGGCATAAACAAACGAATAAAATTGTGGGTTTTTTGGAAGGGGAAAAAAAAACCTTCAACCGCAATTCCGTACTTTATAAAGCCCCTTTTATATCAGTGGGACATATTTATGCGTAACTGTCCCATTGGAATAATAATAATCCTTGGCCTTTTGTCTGGAAAGTGCGTTTACAAGATAGTTTCAGAACAGGTGATGATCGGATAATGCCGTAAGAAAATAAGAGCTCTAAATAAAACGGATTTATTTGTCTGTCTTTATTTTTTTAAAAAATACAAATCGTGCCTGGGTGTCTATAATTCTACAATGACTCTTCCCCCCCCCCCCATCCAATGAATAAACAGCACTTTTTACAACACTTTGCCCAGATATATTTTTTTTTAGAAAAGTTTGAAATCCCTATTTTAGGTCTCCCTACCATGAATGACAAAACTCACAACTCTCAGGATTAATCCACCGCTTGAAGAAACAAACCACCAAAACCCACTATTTGATCTTCCTATAATCAATTTCAAATCCCCAGTATCATTCTGTTGTTATGGCTGATTTTTATGACTCATAATAATAGCAGTGTGCCATTTAAATCGTGTTCATGCTGACCTCATTTGATATCAACAAAAATAATATTGCAGTAATAAAAATAATTTAATAATGAACAGGACTGGGGAAGCGGAGGTGTAAAACTTTGTGTCCAGCTAAGTCCTACTTAGAAAAGACCCACGGGAATTCATGCACCTAAGTAAGTCCTGTCCATTCACTTCAACAGGT